GATTGTTTCAAATGAACATTACAGTAGTCTCTTTGATCTTAATGCCTCCATTTTTACCTTTCCCACATGTACACACAGTACTTTATTAGTCCGAATATACTATACTTGGGGTACATTTTTTATTCCCCGAGTAGTAGAGCAATCTTTTCGAAATGTAATTTTTAAACTAAAGTAATTTAAATATGCTACTTCTTGCTTGATCAACACACAGAGAGCGGCATTCTAGCTGCTAAAGAAGCCAGTGGAAGTGATATAGTTTGCAAGATGTGTGAAGAATTCACAACTGAGGCGATCACTTACCTTAACAATAACAAGACCCAAGAAGAGATTATCAATCTTCTCCTTAAGTCTTGCCCCAAGTTGCGCATGTATGAGAAGCAGGTATGAATGGTCTAGCTTTAACTGTGATTAGATATGCATCTTTTTGTTCTTAAATAAAAATGTTCTTTTGAGGTCATTCTACATTTGTCTACTCTCTCTTAAATGAGGGAAGTTTAAAGAGGGGATGATAATATTATGATTCTGTTAGCTAGACAGTAGAAACTCCTGAAAGTTGATTATAGAACAGAAATCATTTATTACGATGATCTTATTAGAGACAGCATATTAAAGTTGTAGGTTCATTTTAGGGGTTGTGTGTGCATTTCTATTTTTCACCCTCACACTATGGGCCATTGTTTGGCGGGGTTCCTTTCGGTACAGGCTACTATTTTATGGGCCATTTCTATTTTTCACCCTCACACTATGGACCATTTTCTTGCCCACATATACTCTTGAGTGGGATAAACAGAGTTTGCTTGGGTTGATTGACTTTTTCTTGTGTCTGTGTGTACCCAATTATGTTTGCAGTGTGTCACATTGGTGAATTATTACGGTCCTCTCTTCTTCGTAGAGGTATCCTCAGTAGAGCCTGAGCAGTTCTGTAAAAAGGCAGCCATGTGTCAGAAAGTCACCTTAACTTCTCAGAAATTTTTTAACAACTGCAATTTGTGCCATCAAACTGTTTCCGAGGCCTTGTTGAAGTTGAAAGATCCAGATACACAGGTATGACATCTGAGACACGCACGCGCCTGCACACATTCACAGTTACACACTCAACACATAGTTCTGATCGAGCAATTAACAAGCATACATCATAACAGCTCTTGCTCTCATTGCTATCATTTTGAAGCCTTCTCATGATTTGCAGTTAGAAATACTAGAGCTGCTCCTAAAAGCGTGTGATTCTGCAAAGAACTATTCCAAAAAGGTGAGAACTAACACATATTTTGGATTAATAAAGATATAAGAAAAGAAATGTGACAGAAGATAAAATGAGAGTAAAATGGATCTTTTTAAAGGGTGTTTGAATTGATTAAGTATGAGAGAAAAATGGGTAGAAAGAAAATGATTTTTATTTTTCTAAAGACAAGTTTTTCCCCAACATATAGGAGTATAGAACACTAAGGTTAATTGCAACTTTCGACGCTTATCATGGGTCATCCAGAAATAGCAACTCTATATTTTAAACATTGGGGTCTGGCACCATACGTGCTTGAGCTGGGGGTCTCTTTGGAAATAGGGTCTCTACTTTCGAGTAGGGGTATGGTTGAGTACAAACACCGTCTCGAGACCCTTCTTTTGTGGGATTCAACTGGATTGTATATTTTGAAATGTTGCCCACCCTTCTTCTCTAGGTTTCTTCTCATTTGTGGATATATCTTATTTATGAGTGGGAACCACACTTAGCTTTATCTCTCTGATCCNAAAAAAGCGTTCTTCCCAGAACTATATGAACCCTACAAGTCACTTTTACAGAACTATATCTGCATCTTTCTTGCTGAATAAAAATGCACCCTTGTTTGATCTTTGGCAGTGTAAGCAACTGGTCTTTGAGTACGCTCCTGTCATCCTCGTAAATGCGGAACAGTTTCTTGAGGCCAATGACATATGTACTGCTATCCACGCATGTGATGGACCAGAACCGGAGACGGATGCTTCGATGCATTTTGCATCTTAGGTAAAACAAGAAAAAAGAAGCGTTTCCACGCCTTAATCTCGTTGTATGTAAACTATTGTGCACTTCATCATTGCCTTGTGGTGTCTGTATTTGTATTCTGTGTATGAAGCGTTCTTTCTTAACACTTATGTTTTTAAACACCCTCCCTCTGTATATTCCTATGTCAATATTTTACCGCCTTTTATTAGTTTCTCATGGATAAATTATTTATAATACCCTCACTTCTATTTTGATCGGGACTCATAAATTATTTTGTGGATATGAAGGTCGGGTTTAATTCTGTTGACATGATCCCAAGTGGAACTCATTTTAATTTTGTTAAAAACTGGTATGACTTTAACACTATATATCAGACTCGATTAGATCTGACCCGATATAAATAAATACTGCTCGAGTATGTAACTGACATTTGCCGTCAATGGTACTAAATTTACCAGTTTTTGTGTACCCCCTCCATTCTAATTTATGTTCAATGTTCATAGAAAAAGTAAAAGTAAAACATTAAAAATATATAACAAAATAGAAATATTATGTTTTATTTTTGAAAATAAGAGTTAAAATACATAATATTGTGAAATGTCTCTATACAATGCCAATTCCTACCGTGCGAACTCTTGTCTCCTGTTTTGGAGATAAAAGCATGTAGTTTATATTTTGGTATTTTCTCTATGTGTTATTATAAAGTAAGGTGATTTTTTTATATTTATTATTTAGAGTCAATCTATAATCACTTTCTTTACTTATTTTCGTTATTTAAATGATAAAATAAAATAGTCATGTCACCTCTTGTTCTGTAGATCTTTGATATAATTTTAAAATATATAAAATTTATTTTTTAATTATACTCTAATTTTCATGTAGGTTTATTTAAAAATAAGTTTAATCAGACATCGTACACAACAACAAGCATAATTTGTACTTCTAGTTTGTAATTCTTTAATGATCCTTAAACATAGTTTGTACTTCTAATTTATTGAGATAACATATTTATTTTATAGTACTAAACATCACAGTCTTGTATTTTTACAATTTTACTACATCCAACACAATACTATGCCCTAAATTGTATCCTTATTCATACCAATTCTCAAATATTTGAAGAGTATAGTATAACATAATTGAAAAATTGGAGATATAATTTAATGAAGAACAAGATCAATGGCATGAGAATTGATTATTAGAAATGCAAGATTATAATGAGACCCTCTATCTAAGAAAAATTTGGGTAGATTATATTCATAAGAAATATATCTAAATAAAACTTAAATATGAAATTTATATCAAAACGAGACCCTCTACATTTTTTCCTAAACAGGAGTGTTGAGATAATGTAAACGCTGCAATTTATGTTTGAGTGTTGGCTTTTCATAATATTATTTGGCATTTTATGTTGGCATTATTTGATATTATAAATCTTCTTTTAGTATGAAAATGAAGATTTTATTTTAATACTCCCTCTCTACTAAAACTAGCATGCCGTTTCAGTTTACGAGGTTTGTCTTATGTTATTTTCCATTTAATTTATTTGATTATAAATATAAAATTAAAAAATAAAATAAATATATTTAAAAACTAATTGAAAGTTTTATAAAACTAGAGATACGAGACAATATTATTCTATAAATTTCTAACGAAAATATAAAAATAAAATGAATAAAATTTAGAGAAAATGACTAAAATAGGAGCAAAACATTGAAAATATACCAAAATAGGAATTCCTTATTTTTATTCTCGAAATAAGAGTTACAATACATTTACATTGTCAATCATGACCATATATATTACAATAAAGTATTGTAAAATATCCATGTACAGTGCTACCATACATTACCAATGTGCAAACTCATATTTAGAAAAGAAGAATATGGAACTTCTAATTTAGTATATTTTCTTTGTTTTACTCCTATTTAGGGTGATTTTTTTAAAGTTTAAACATATAAACAATATTTTATTCGTCTCAAAATAATTTACCTCTGTACTGTTACGACATCTCGGTAACTTATGTTTGTTTATATGTTTTCATTGATTATTTGATAAAATAAAATATTATTGTCAACTCTGGTTTGTAAAAGCTTTGATATAATTTTTAAATATATAATTTTTATTCTTTATTTCAATATAATTTATACATAAAATTGTTTTTAAAATAAAAAAGTACTACACATTGATAAAAATGGTCATTTATTTTCGAATGTAAGAAGTAACTAGAATATTGTTTTAGCATTTTAGTCTTCGTTAGAGCAACTCCAATGTATTTGCTAATTTGCTATATTGGTAAGATACCAATTACTATTCACATATATTGATCTCTTTTCATTTTGTTGAACACAATGGATTTGATAAAAAAAATGTCATGTTTGGCAAAATATTCATTGGTAAAATACTAAAAACTTCTAGTCATCCAAGTTTAGCAACTACTCCCTCCGTCTTAAAAAATCTTTCTTCTCTATTTTTTTCATTTATCTTAAAAAATCTTTCTCATTAATCCAAGTTTAGCAACTACTCCCTCCGTTTTACTCATATTAATTCTTAACCTACATATCACATCATATTTTTTCACTATTAATCTATTCATTATATCTCATTTTTACACATCACATCTAAAGATATTTTCAAAAAATCAATGCCAAAATACACTGAACTTAAATCATTTAAAAGCTAAAATCATAAAAATTTTGTGAGACAAGGAATATATGATTGAAATAAGGAAAAATATCTTAGATTGATTGGATTATGCTATGTGTACCCCAAGGTTTGTACCCCGCAGTTTTGCACCAATACTTTGTGTTGGTGTAAAACTAATTTTTGTTAAACGCACTAACATTTGTGTCCGTGTGAATTTTTATTAACGCACCAACACTTGTGTCGGTGTAAACCATCGAAATGTTTATGTAAACCTGCGGTGTACATGATATATGATTGAAATAAGGAAAAATATCTTAGATTGATTTTTTTTTAAACATAATAGAGTAAACCTAGTTACAAGAACGCACATTGGAACCTGCAGAGCAATAGAATAACGATGATTGGTAGCCGACAAAGTTTCTTCAGTATAAATATCAGAGGACCCCAATGATTTCCGTCTACTCACTCGTATATTCATCCACCCATTCCCCCTTCCTAATCCAGGGTTGATCGATTCTCATCTCTGTTTTTCAGGTATATTTCAACCAAATTCTCATTCGTTTTTCTCTTGTGAATCAAGACCCGTGTTTTTATCTTTCCCTTTTTTTCCTTAGATTCTCCCATGTTTTGGTGGTATTTTCCAGAAAGGAATTGGCAAATTGTTTTTCGTTTCATAGATCTAGATGAAGAAATCTTTTTTCTCTTTTAAATGTTTTTATTTATTTGATCTCCCGGTTCCCAGCTGCTAAAATGATGTATCTGTGTATCATCTGTTTTTTTTCTATTGCAATATTCAATTTTGTTATTATAACATTTTCTCTGTTTGATTGCCCCTCCTGATTCATGATTTAATTCATAAATCCAATCATCATATGATTTCTTTACATATGTTTTCAGTTCTATTGAAGAACTAATTGCTCATATTTTTCTTCAATGGCATGAAACCTATGCGATGATCTTTTTTTTTTATTAAAGCCACCGGTTCGATCGTGTTCATCGGATGTGCTTTTCATTGAAGCATATTGTTTCTTTCTCAATGCCTTATGTAGATTCATTTGATGACTCCTATACTATGTTTCAGGTGAACTATATCCTGTTTTGCTTCTAAGGTCTTTAAGGTAGTATTTGATTGGTTCCAATATAAAGGACAGGGAATGCAGAAAGATGTGCTTTCCCGCTAGGAAGTGTTTCTGCAAGTTTGGCGAGGTTAGAGCTCCATTTGAGCCTTCCTCAAATACCCTTGATGAGATTGGTATAGCAATCTTCCCCCGCCTCGGATTCTTCCACCAAATCTCACCTTGTCCTTGTAAAGATTTTGGGGGTCAAGTTGTGTCCTTCCACGATCTCTGTGAAGACGGTTAAACCTCTGAAAAGTAGTTTGGAGTTTGGTTTTGGGAGAATTGAGATGGAGAGTAAAGGGGGGAGTGTGCTGATGGAAAGGTACGAGTTAGGGAAACTGTTAGGGCAGGGGACCTTTGCCAAGGTCTACCATGCGAGGAATCTGAAAACCGGGACCAGCGTGGCCATCAAAATCATTGACAAGGAGAAGATATTCAAGGGTGGGATGATGGAACAAATCACCCGGGAGATTTCTGTGATGAAAATGGTCAGGCATCCAAACATAGTCCAGCTGTACGAGGTTATGGCCAGCAAGACAAAGATTTACTTTGTCATGGAATATGTTAAAGGCGGCGAGCTATTCGGCAAGGTTGCTAAAGGGAAGATGAAGAGCGACGTGGCGAGGAAATATTTCCAGCAGCTGATTAGCGCGGTCGACTTTTGTCACAGTAGAGGCGTTTATCACAGGGATCTGAAACCAGAGAACCTTCTCCTGGATGAAGATGGAAATCTCAAGATCACTGACTTCGGTTTGAGTGCTCTATCAGAATCTAAGCGCCAAGACGGTTTGCTTCATACCATATGTGGGACCCCTGCCTATGTTTCTCCGGAAGTGATTAACCGACTAGGCTACGATGGAGCCAAAGCTGATATCTGGTCTTGTGGGGTCATCTTGTATGTTCTCCTGTCCGGGTATCTCCCATTCCAAGACCAAAATCTGATGGAGATGTACAGGAAGATATGCGAGGCCGAGTTTAAGTACCCAAAGTGGTTCTCTTCGAATGCTTGCAAGCTGATTGCAAAAATATTGGATCCAAACCCGAACACGCGGATCTCAATCTCCAAAATAATGGGAAATTGCTGGTTCCGGAAGGGCTTGCATCCCAAAACATTGAAATTGAGTGAGGACACGAAAGAGGAAGGGGCAGAAGAAGTCGCAAAGAAGCTAACAAACATGAACGCGTTTGACATTATTTCTTACTCGTCGGGGTTTGACTTGTCGGGGTTGTTTGAGGTGGGAAGAATGGGGGACGAGAAGAGAGAGTCGAGGTTCACATCCATGCAACCTGCAAAAACCATCATCTCAAAGCTAGAAGACACAGCCAAGCAGCTAAAGCTGAAAGTTACAAAGAAGGAAGGGGGTTTTCTGAAATTGGAGGGATCGAAACTGGGAAGGAAAGGGGTTTTGTCCATTGATGCTGAAATCTTTGAAGTGACACCGGCCTTTCACATGGTCGAGATGAAGAAGTCCGATGGGGACACGCTCGAGTACAAGAAGATGATGAAGCACGAAATAAGGCCAGCATTGAAAGACATCGCCTGGGTTTGGCAAGGTGATGAGCTCAAAGGTGATCGTCCCGACTTGAACACTAATAATTCTTATCCCCCTTGCATTGGTTGTTGATCTATCAAGTTAAATGGCTGATTATGTTTAACCTTTCTATCTTTAGTGCTTCCCAATTCTTTTGTCACTGGACTATGCTTCAAATTCACTAATGGTCATTATGGTCTTGTATGGAACATGAGGTTTGGGCCTTGACTCTGTAATGGTTCTTTTTGTCTGGCTAACAACTATAAAGAGTTCAAGTAAATGATGTGCAAGTACAGTGATATAGTTCGCCTTCTTGCACAAATAATTCGTCCTTTTGTTACAAATTGTTTTCCTCTTTTTTGTATTCTGTCTGCAGCAACCCTTTGAAAAATAACAAATACCGTGTACATTTTTACCGTTGGTCAAAGAAGTCTTAAACCTATCTCTGAACATATATACTCATAGGTATTTTTACGTATGCCGTTATTGCCTGTATTATATTTGATGTGAAAACAGTCACAGTTAGAGTTGCTGATTTGGTCACCACCTGCAACACTTGACTCTCCTTGGAAGGTCTTGAGTTCGAATCTCAAGATTAGCTCTTTGCTCGAATCAAAGTAGGCGAGATAGAGGATTTTTCATTAGTTAACATGTTAGCCCTCAACATTAGCTCTTTGCTCGAATCAATTGTGGAAATCTCACTTCCAGTGGTCGTCCACATCTCCTTAGATCCGCCTCACGCTCGAGCTAAATGTATACCGTACGAAGTCCTCTGAAAATGGTAATAGTAAATTGTAATGTTTCGAAAAAAAGACAACCTAAAAATAGATACACAACATGTACTACTTCTATGTAGAATAATAAAAACTACGGAGTAATGCAGAACTTTTTTAAATAAAATTTCTTAACAAAAACTTTTTTAATGATATAAATTAAAATATATATTCAAGTAAAGCATCGAAGTGTATTATGGAACTAAAAAAATAGAGTATACGTATTTAAATCTTTTAGGTCAAATATGATTATTACGACCATTTCGGTCTAATCCGTACGGACCTAAATCATTTCTGATTTGGACCGAATCGGACCGAAACCCAAACACCTAAATTTTTTGGACCGAAGATCGATCCAAAATTCATTTGGTCCGGGTTCAGTCTGGACCAAACAGTCCGGTTCAATTTGAATCGAGCAGTCGAGATCGGTCAATTTTTCGGTCCAGACCTAAATGTGAACACCCCTAATCCTAGCGGGAATCGCCATGCTGGCGTGAGGGAAGAGCGAACACTACTCCTGAGTTGCGTGAGAGGATGTCGTGAATGGCATCATGACCACAACCACGGAAGGGAAGCATTTCTTTTGTTTTTTGTTTTTTTTGTTTTCATTACTTTTTTGTACTCTCATATTTTTTTATTTGTAACTTTTTGTATATCAGTCATTTTTTGATAAATAATATACTATTGGAAATCTTTTCACAGGATCTGTCCAACATAATATTACATATAAAATTTTGATGTTACGTCTCACTTATATTTATTGCTCAAACACTTTAAAATTTAACGAATTGTGTAATATTATTATTTTTATAACAAAACACATTTTAAATTTAAATTGGTATATCTTGTTTTTCCCTATTAAATTCAACCATTTTATGTTTGTTATGGTATTAAAAAAATAAAAGAAAAAAGGTATATTTGAAGAGAATATATACGTGAGACAAAAAAATGGTGTAACAAGGGTCTATCCGTGCAGACTTTGAGTCAGGCTAAAACAATGTTGGAGAGGTCACCGAAGATGAACGAATTGTAAGACACACCCTAGGGAAATGTACAACAACAATAGAGCGGATTTAGTAGAACACCTTTGCAAAAATTAAAATTTAAAATAGTGCTACGTGTATTATTTTTTTCTTTAATGTGCTTCATTTTTTATTAATTTAATTATTTTGTGTACTTTTTTAATTAATGTTATTTATGAATTTTTAAATTAACTTTTTTCATTTAATTGTTCTAATAAAAAATGAATAAAAAACTAAACCAAACGAGAAAAGTTTAATAACGAAAGATAAATTTAAATTAATTTATATTATGATTTTTATAAAAGATACGGAGTAAAATTTAATTTGATTGGAAATGAGTAATATTTAAAAGATAATAGTATAATCATTATAGTGAATGTGAGACATTATAAGTATGAAGTGAGTGAGATATTGAGTATTGTCAGCAATTATGTGACTGCTGGTTAACTCGATTTAGACTGAGCGGAGGTGAAGCAATACAGATAGCCTTATTAAATACTTTTACATTACAATATATCTCGTCTCTTTATTTTTCCATTCAATCCAAACAAAAGATATCCTTAATTATTTATTATTTCATCTCTCCAAAATTCTTAATCCAAATATTATATCATCATCTTTCTTCCTCTCATCTATAATCCTCTTTCTTTCTTTATTAAATTTGGTGTCGGCATGAATAGTTCAACTGGTCCAAGTAAAGGATATCAAATCCGTTGATTCTAGGGTGATTCTCGGTAGCGTCAGTATGAGAATTCTATTATTTGTAATAGATCCCAGTGTGCAACAGGTACGGAACAACTTCTCTAAAGACTAAATAGAAATTATACAATGATTTATCTCTTTCACAATTATGTCGGGTCAGAGCTTGGGGTGCGTTCCACCTTTTCTTGTTTTTATTAAATTTGGTCCCTGCAACCAAAAATTCCCTAAAAGTGAAGTTCCATAAAGACGGAGGACGCTTAATTAGTTGAGTACTCCCATATTCCTTAATAAGACCAAATCTTTCATGTTTCACTGAATTTCGATCTTTCCATTTTGGGGGAGTGCTAATTTTCACTGCTTCATTCAATAACTATGGTGGTCGCTTCATCTGAATCTTTCCCGTCAAGAAAAAGACAGCCGTCGGCGGGATCCATCGCCGCCCAAAGCCTCTCCGACCGCCGGCTCCTACAGACGCTTCTCGCAATTTCGCTGGAAATCTCTTCGGCCCAGCCAATTCGTTATCTCATGAAGAAAAACACTAGCTCGATGATCAGAAGGTCAAAGCTGATGAGCGTTCTCTTCGAAGAGCTTCTCCGGTGTCCGGCGACGTCGTTCCAGCCGACGGCCGTGTTGTGCTTCGAAGAGCTGTACATAGCTCTGCAGAGGGTGAAGGCGTTGATGGAAAATTGCCGGAGCTCGAGCAAGATGTGGCTGCTGATGCGGATCGAGCCGATCTCTAACTCCTTTCACGAACTCGCCGTCGAATTGTCGACGGTGTTCGACATTCTTCCGGCGAAGGATTTGAGTTTAAGCGAAGATTTGGTTGAGCTGATCTGTCTCATCCGGAAACAGAGCTCCGAGAAGGACGCTTACCTGGATTCCGCCGATAAATCTCTCCTAGAAGACGTTCTTCGTGTCCTGGACGGAATCAAGCAAAAAATTCCCCCGGAGCTCCAAAATCTCGCCGAGATTTTCCATAAATTGACTCTCATGGATTCCACTAGTTGCAGAGATGAGATCGAAAGTTTGGAAGAAGAGATTCAGACTCAATCCGACGGCAAATCGAAATCCGATATCCTCGCCCTGATCAGCCTGGTCCGCTACGCGAAATGCGTCTTGTACGGCGCTTCTACGCCCAGAAACGACGGAAGGCGGCGGAAGACGACGGCGGACGTCACTGTCCCGGCGGACTTCCGGTGTCCGATCTCTCTCGATTTGATGAGGGAGCCTGTGGTGGTGTCCACGGGACAAACGTACGACCGTTCCTCTATCTCTCTTTGGATCCAATCCGGTCACAACACGTGTCCCAAGACGGGTCAAACATTGACCGGCGGCCAGCTCATTCCAAACGTGGCTTTGAAGAGGATGATAGCTATGTGGTGCAGAGAACAGAAAATCCAGTTTGACTTAACGGAGCCCCACGTTACAACTAACGGAGCCGTGACCAACAAGGCCGCGTGGGAGGCCACCAAGATGACGGTGTCGTTTCTCGTCCACAACTTGAAGGCCTCCCGGTCGATTGAAACGGCGAACCGGACGGTTCATGAGCTTCGGGTTTTGGCAAAGACTGATTCGGACAGCCGAGCCTGCATCGCCGAAGCTGGAGCTCTGCCGTTGCTAGTCAAGCTCCTAGGCTCGGGGCACCCCAGCCTACAAGTTAACGCCGTCACGGCGATTCTCAACCTCTCTATCCTCGATGCGAACAAGGAGAGGATAATGGAGACTGACGGAGTTCTTAACGGCGTGATTGAGGTGCTGCGGTCCGGCGCCACCTGGGAGGCGAAGGGGAACGCGGCGGCCACCGTCTTCAGCCTGACCGGCGTTAGCGCGTACAGGAAGTGCCTGGGGAGGAAGACGCGCGTCGTGAAGGGATTGATCGCCCTGGCGCGTGAGGGTCCCACGGATTCCAAGCGGGACGCCATGGTGGCAATTTTGAATTTGGGCCCCCTGTCCCTCCGCCACCCTTTCGACTATCTTCCTCCGCACCACCTCTACCGCCGCCTCCGTTACCTGCGCGACGGTCTCCTCCGACGCTGGAACGAGCTTCGTCACCACTTTTCCCCGCCTGACCGCCGACAGCGCCGCCGCAAGGGCCAGCAGTTCTCTGACTGCCCCAATGACGCCCTCCCTTGCCTCTCCCAGCGTGAAAGTGCGGCAGCGACGCTGGTGAACATGTGCCGGAAAGGAGGGTCAGAGGTGGCGGCGGAACTTGCGGCGGTGCAGGGAACGGAGCGGGTGATTTGGGAAATGATGAGACAGGGGACGGGAAGAGGGCGGAGGAAGGCAGCGACATTGTTGAGGATACTAAGAAGATGGGCAGCCGGCGGCGGCGTGAACGAGCATTCAAATGGCGCCACCACAATAGTATTGCCAGGGTAAACCTAACCTGCTTTGCATTATCAATCAATTGAAGAAATTATTCTTTTAAATCTGAAAACTACCGTACAAATTGAACCACACAAGCAAAAATGTGCTAAGAAATGTTCAATCTTTGTCAACTGTACAAAATTGTTACTGTAATATAATGGTGTTCAATAAAATAGGAGAAACCCCGTAATTTTGCCATGTTCATGCATGCATCCTACTTAATTACTCAAGTCAACAGGAGGTCAAAATGAAAAAATAAAATTGACCCAATTCAAAATTTACATTTTGGGTCAAATTTTATTTTTTTGCATATTTTTACTTTAAAATTGTTAACGAATTTAAAAATACAAAACCTTAAATTTTTAAAAGCACTGTACGGTTGGCCACTTTAGATACCCTCCGGGCCACCAATGCAAGCCAATATGAGTATCTCACCTTATTGGCCCTTTGATTAAGAGAGTGTTACAATAGCATTAATTACTAACATAATACTGCAAATGTAATTAGAATTCAACCCAAAAGAATAGGATCTAGTATGGGTAGCCAACACTCTCCTCTCTATAAAAAAAAGCTAAGGGAACTTTTACTCCGTGTTATTTAAAAGTTTAATGTAGCTTTTACTAATCCATGGTTGTTTTTTACAAATAAATTAAAATAAGACCATGAGTACTTTGTCTTGTACTCAGTACCTTCTAATCCCAAAAATATTTTCTTTCTTTTTTAATTTGTGGAAAAATAGAAACTTCATGTTTTATTTTTCAAAATAAGAATTGGAAAATTTACTTAAATAACACTAACACATAATGACTTTCTCTAAATAGCACCACATGTGTTTTTCTTCCCAATGTAGCACTTTTAGTCATTATGCATTAGTCATTATTCAAGTAAATATTTGTTATCACTGGACATTATGGACATTATTAAGTGTTATTTAAAGAATAAAAAAAGTTTAAGTGCTATCTAAGAAAATGACTTAGGTTTTAATGTTTTTTAGTGTAAATATTTCATAAGAATTAATCCCTCCGTCCATGTATGATCTTCTCATTACGCGTTACGAGGCTTGACCGACTTTATTTTTAATTCAATTTAATTGATTATAGGAGTAAAATTTTAAAATAAAATTTATATAGTAATAAACTACATGAAAAGTTCTACAAAATTAGAGGTGACAAGACTATATTATTTTATGAAATGACTAGTAAAATTGAGCAAACAAAGTGAGTAAAGTTTGACCCTATGAATAATGTCCGGGAAGATCTATGGTGAACAGAGGGAGTACAATACTAAGTACCAACAATATTAACATACATATAATACCAAAAAATATTACAGAATACCAATACACAATGTGACAGTGTGACACATGTCGGTAGTCTTATTTTGGAGTTAGAGGAGGATATATTTCTTTATAATTTGTGGCTAAACAAGTTCAAAATTTCCAAACGCTCAAAATTTTACCTAATCCAATTATATTAATTATATTTAGTGTTTTGTAACTTCAAGTTAGGCTATGTGGAGAGTCATCCCATCTCCTTTTTCCTCTTCTACCAATACAGGGCCAAACTCAACTTAAGTTTTACCTTTCCCTTTCATGAAAATGCATTCCTTTTCCATCCTCTTTCCCTTTTAATTTTTAATATTTATTTTAATTCACATTATTAAACTAAAAACATACAAAGAATTAAATAGTACAAACTTTAAAAAAAATTAAAAATAAAAACGTAAAACCTGAAAAAGTTATTATAAAAAATATAAAAAAAATTGAAAAAAAATTAAAACTAAAGAATATGAAAACTGAAAAATATTTAATAAAAAACTAAAAATAAAAAAACTAAAAAAAATTTAAACTAAAGAATACAAAAAGGAATTGAAGAGGACAAGGAAAAGAACAAACAAAATCACTCTAAATAGAAGTAAAACATAGATAAAGTAAAAAATAGGAGCTTCATATTTTTATTTCTCTAAAGAGGAATTCCTACTGTAATAATGTGGCACTGTACATGTGCATTTTACTATATTTTTTTCGTAATGTACATGATCATGATTGGTAATGTAAATGCATTTTAAATCTTATTTTGAGAATAAAAAAATGCAATATTTAAGGATATTTCTTTTCAATATTTAGTTTTAACATTTTTAGGGTATATTCATTTGGGTTGGAAATATGAACTTTCAAACTTTTCCAACTTATTCAGGTTTCTACGAATTAAATGCAAACAATGACTAAAAATATATTTACATATAATGAATATACAATAAATCATATATTTAAATCTTTAGCACATCACCTCATACAGGGACAAAGCTAAATTCTTTTTTATTTCAAATAAGTTTTTTATACTTGTATATTTATTTGAGTAATTATTCAACTAAGTGATTTTTTAACACTTAATTTTTTCTAACATTTTCTAACTCGTTTCAAAATTTTCCAACTCTAATTTCTCCTAACTTTTTTCAGTTTCTTGCGACATCTAACTTTGTTTTTATAATCCAAACCAATAGAGACTTAAAAACCCTATCCGACAATAACATCTAATTTCTATATTTCGAAATTAATAAATTAGCACCATTAATAAATAATATAAAAGTTTTGATAAAAAATACGGAGTAAATAATTTAAAATGAATAAAGCTAGGGATACATCAAAACGGTGTATTCCATTTGTACATCAGGCAAACACATATACTAAATGTTTGTGATCACAGACGTTGAGTGTATCTGTTTGCCTGGTATATAAATGGGTCACACCATTTTGGTGTACCTTTACATGACCCATTTAAAATGCCTACACCAATTGAAATACTCCCTTCGTTCTAAAATGTTTTTCCAGTTTCTGTTTACGAGATCGATTTGACCGACATTATATTATTTTCGAATTCCATTTATTTGATTGTAATAGTAAAATTTAAAAAATAAAATTTTTATTTTTAAAAACTACATCAAAAATTCTACAAAACAAGAATAAGTAAAGAAAACGAGTAAAGTCGTCTGACCATTTGAATATTAATTGGAAAGAACATTTTAAAACATGAGATAGAGTAATTATTTCCAAACGAGACACAAGAAACTATGTGTAAAATTTCCTTTTAATTTGTATGAACCTCATTTATTATTACACATGTGTAAGATTTAGACTTAACTTTGTTTGATACTCCCTCACAAAAAGGTTTAGATTGAATGGGGGCAATGTATGACCAAAGCAGGTCAGCATGCATTGAGACATGATTTGATCAAGATTTTATACAGTAATAATTAATCAATTAGCCTTATCCAAATGCTACGTATAAGACATCGGTGTTTGCTTACCAAGATTTTGTTTGTGTATTTCTAATCTAATAGTAAGCCACAGCTAGCGTGTAAAGGTGGCTGCCTAGCTGTGCCACCAATGCCTTGATGATGTGCCTAATGATGCTCTTTTAAGCTTGTTTTTTTTAATTACTTTTCAATAATAATACCCCCTCCTCCCAAAAAAATATTTCCTTTACAGTTTTTTTTAAAATAATTTTCCTTCATAAAAATAATTTTGAATATGTAAATGCTACTTTAAAAATTTGATATATCAAAATTACATTTTAAAATAAACTCATTTCTACTCGAATTAAATTTACATTACAACAAAATCAATTAAACTGGGGAAAAAATAATTGAGATAGAGGAAACAACAACTAGCTAGAAGCAACAACAAATCACTACCACGAGTAGCAGCAACAACAACAATAATAACAACAATAACGGCAACAACACAATCATTTTAATAATAATAATAATAGAGCAAATGTATTCAGATAAGACGGAGTCCGCCGCGGAACGACCACCTTTGCCCGTCGGAACCGGAGAAGGCGGTTGCGACACTTGCATGATAATAGTATCATATCACTAAAGATCTGTTGATCTTTTAAAGAAAGCTAATGAGTGTTTGATGCATTTATTTATGCCGTCCTGGTTAGCACCGTACAATATAACCTGCCTTCATTATTTTTGGGTGTGAAATAGTAGATTTTATATTCCATGCAGTTGGGAACCCTTTTTTCAAAATAAAAAGTGCCAATAATATAGAATAATTTAGACTAAAACTCAATATACAAAGTACTGGAAGGCCTTGTTTGGGAACTACGTTTTCGATTAACGTTAGCGTTTTGGATAAAGTTTTAATAGTGTAGATTGATTCTGAAAACGCTAAAGCTAAAGGCTACCGTCGGATGATTTTTTTCAAATCACTGACGCTAACTTCTAATGCTAATGTCAAACGGAGCCAAAGTAGACTGTAAATAAACCATTCCGTTATGACCAAAAGTAAAATCTAAGTGAGAACTAAACACCATTAGAAAAAAAGAGGAAAACCTTGCAAATTTTAGAATAAATATTTGTTTGATGATTCTGCTGATGAGTTAAGTATAATTGTTTGCCACATTAATAATGGTAAATTATTACATTCCTATTCCGATCCATGATTACCTTAATCCTCACGTTAATTCTCTTCTTCATAAGAATTTCAACAGAATATTTCGTTGGAGTTACCTTGTGGACAGTAAATAAATGTAAAATATATATTTTCATCTGTGTATTTGTTAAATTATAGTTTTACCAATCAAATTGGCCAAATTTTAATAATTAATATAATTAAGTAGACTATGATATCATTAGTACTGAGTGAATTACATATATATACTGAGAGAACTGTGAAAGCCAGGGCACAAATCACAACTCAACATTATATTAATAATAATAAAAAGGGCCTCGTAAGTACAGTTGATAATGGAGAAACAAAAAACCTCTGTAAAAAAAATTAATATTAAAAAAAATCCTATACAAGGCAACTTACATGGCAAACTAAGGGCAAAGCCGAAGCTTTGCTGGCAAAACATATTCTGAATTAGTACATAATGTACAAAGAGATTCAAATGACTGGCATTACAGAACGGAGAAACCGCGCCAAACATATGTATAGTGTTTTTGTGTTTTTGTGAGATCGCCCATTCGCCCACCACCCGTATTCAGACAGATAATGGAGGGAAATCGTCGTCATCTTTGAGGTGGTAAGCAGATTTAACCGGAGAAGGAGAAGCCCTTTGTGTCCAAAACAAAATAATGTCAGAATTATTAGCCTCTGATTTAAAAACGGTTTCTTCTCACTTGACCGTGATTTTTTATAATTAAAAAAAACAAGAATTAGAGAGTTGTTGATC